GGGCAGGCTGTCCTGCGCCCGCGTCGTGGAGGATGCCATACCCATGTGCCCCGCGCGGCCTGCCCCGGAGTTCGGGATCCGAGAGCACCGATGGCTGCTGTGTGTCCAGGACGCGCGGCACCTTCGGAGGGAGGAGTGCGGGCAGGTTCTCCCCAGCACAGGTCAGCCCCCCTCCCTGGCCCTCCTGCCGCTTCGCGCTTCCCTCTGAGCCGTCCTCGCATCCCCCGGTGGCCTTCCCCAGCCCTTCTGCCCGCTCCCTGCCTCCGAGCGGATGGTGTCAATAAAAGCTATCACTGAGCGCTTACTACCCGCCAAACCGCGCGTGACCTGTTCCCTCTGCAGGACCCGCAGTGAGCCCTCTTAGCATTGCTGCTCCACGGGCGGGGGACCAAAGTCAGGCACGGGGAGGGACTAGCCTGCATGGTGCTGAGTGGCAGGATTCCAGCCTGGCTGGAATTTGAAGCCGGGTCTGACTCGCACATGCTCTTCGTGGCTGCCCCACGCTGCCAAAACAGCCGGGCCGCATTTTGGGGGGACTGGCGTGTAAACTAGCTCTGTTCAGCAACGCGCATCGCTGAGATCCACCGCCCCTTTCTTTCCCTTGACTTGGGGAGAGCGGGGGGGGGGGGGAGGCTCCGTGGGAATGGGGGGCCGGGGAAGCCCGCTGAGTCAAGAAGTGGCAGGTTCTCCTGGCATGGACCACAGCTGCACCCCAAACCTCTCTCAGCCTGGTTCCTCCTGCCCACCCTCCACGTGTGCTTTGGAAGCGGGGGGCCGGGCAGGGCAGCAACCGAGTGGGCTGGCTGGGCTCCACACCCGCTGGGAGACGTTGTCTGTGTCCCAGGGAGCCGTGCGCAGCGTGCGGGGAGAAGCAAGCGCTTCTATAAAAGGCAGGCTGTGTGACTGCACGGGCTCTGCGAACGCAATTCACTCGCTCCCAGAGAACTAGTTGGGCTGGGGGGGGGGGCGGTGCTGTGCTGTGGGAGGACACCTGGCTCCCGGCCGTGCGCTCCGCAGCCTCTCCCTGAATCTACACCCTCAGGCAGGCTGGGGAAGGGGGACCCCTTGCAGGGAGACCCCGCCACACTCTTGGGCATTTGGGACCTTTGGCAGCGGGGCAACACTTCCTCCCCCAGCCCGGCTCCTCCCTCCCTGTCCCCAAGGCCCCTCCACCCCCAGCTCCCCCTCCCTCCCTCCCTCCTTCCACCTCCTCACTTTGCTAAGGCCACCTGGGGGGGGGGGACCTGCTCCCCTCCCTCCGACCTCCTGCCAAAAGAGGCCGCCACGCCTCCCATGCCACGCCTAACCCTTGACCTGTACCTGGGGCCTGGCTCCCCCTCCTGGCTTCTCTTCATCGGTGTGAGGTGAGGTCACCTGCGCTGAGAACCTTTCAGGCTCAGGCCTCATCCTCCACCCAATCAGCAATCACGGAGGGTCCCCTTCACGGCCAGCGGCGGCCTCTACTGACGACTGCGCCTTCCCTCTGGCCTGCCCCCCCAGTTCAGCCTTGGGACCTCAGGCTCCCTCACTCCTGTCTGACTTCTCCCTCTGGCACTTCGGGCCTCCACTCCCATCTTTCACTCACAGGAAAAAGGGAGCAAGACAGATTGACAAGAACTTTACTCACAGGATGTAGGACGCAGATGTTGGACGGGACAGGAGCTCCCCCCCACACCCCCCACCCCGCTTCCCCTACCTCAGGCCAAACCACTGTACAACCGTGCCTCTGTTTAGGAGACCCCTGCCGTGCTGGTCACCTTAGAGGCCAACCCCTGCTGCCCACCGTGTCAGGGACCTTCCACCATGACTGGGTCCTCCTGACAACCCGGGGCCAGCCCAGGCAGCACTGAGGGCCGGTGGGGGGGGGGGGGCGGCTCGCAGATGTCTGCTGTGTCCTCTGTCCGCTGGGCCTTCACCTAGCAGGGCCGGCTGCCTGGCCCAGAAGTTCCAGGGGCACCAGGAACGGGTTCAGGGGGCAGACCCCGGCTGCTTGCCAAGCAGACCTTGGCTCCCTGGGCCTGGCGTTCTCGGGGGCCTGCAGCTCCGCCTGGCTGGCCTCCTCGTGCCCCTGGGAGCCTGTCCCGGCATCCTCAGCTTCGGGCGCCAGGCCCTCGCACGCTGGGTCAGGCTGGGGGGCTGTCAGGTGCGCGTACATATCCGACAGGTGTTTAACCAGGGCCTCGTAGGGCAGGCGGAGCAGCTCCTCGGGAAGTGCCAGGAGTAGGTCCAGGACCACTGCTGCCTCTGGTGATGGACACGGAGGGCTGGGGTGAGGGCAGGGCAGGTATGCTACCTGGGACTCCCTCCCTCACAGCCCCTGCCCGTTAGTCTCACCAGCTGCAGAAAGCTCAGGGCCATGACACCTGCGGGAAACAGACGACAGGTACTTGTAGATCTTCTCGAAGTCCACGGAGAAGTCTCCTTCCGCCGCCGCCGCGGAGGGGTCAGCCAGGGATGCAGATGCGGCCTCAGCGGCGGGGCCATTCGTCTTAGGGGCGGGGCCAGGAGTGTCAGGGCTGGGGTCCTCCCGCCCGCCAGGGGCGCTAAGCAGCAGTAGCTTTCCCCGCGCCTGTGTGGGCTTGGGGGGCTTGGAGTGCAGGAGGCTGACGGGCTCCGTGGCGGCGATGGTGAGTACCTGGCAGGAAGGGAGATCAGGGAGGGGAAAAGGGGGGAGGTCCTCCTACAGGCCTCTCTCCTGCCCTGCACCCCGCGGAGCCGTCCACCTCCACCTGCTCACCAAATTCCCTGTTGGACGTAACATGGAGGGGCTGTCGCAAGCGGGGTCACTGAGGCTCAGTGTGTTCAGTGACTGGCTAGCGTCACAGGGCGGGCAAGAGGAAAGGCCCAGCAGCCCAGTCCCCCTTAGCCTTGTGCGCACCACCCTCACCCGGCCTGCGGGATGGCTGTACCTGTGAGAAAGCCACAGTCAGGGCCTCCTCCAGCGGGCCTGTTATCTTCTCTGCCAGATCCATCCAAACCTGGAGGGGGCGACAGAAAGGCCCACGGTGGGCCTGGGGAACCCACCCTCGGGGGTCTCCAAGCCCTGCTCCTCCTGGGGATCCCCTGAGGTTATTCCCCTCAACACCCACATCATGCCACAGGGGCCGGCCTCGGGGGGCCTTGTCCTGCCTCACCTCGATTGGGGCCGGGGTCTGTGTTTCCCGGCGCCTCCGTCCCTGCGGGCCACCGGGCTGCACTCTCTGGATGGCCTCCCGGACCACGCGGCCCTTGAGCTGCCGCAGGAAGTCCCGGATCTGGAGAAGAGAGGAGGCGGCCGAATGGGACTTCTGGGCCAGTGCTGGAGAGAGAGGCCAAAGCCTACCGCCTGCTGCGGGACCGGCACTGCTCCCCAGCCTCCCGCTACCCCGGTGTGACCGGTCTCGGTGACTCTGCCCCGGGGTTCGGGGCCAGGCCCCAGGTGTGACCAGGCACCCCGCACAGGTGTAAGGCCCAGGACAGCTCCGGTCCCTCCCAGCAGCCACGGCCCACCCTTTGCTAAGTACTACCTCGCTTCACCCACTCGGCCCCGTTTCCTGGCTCTCACTTCAGCCTCACTCCCCCGGGGTCCCGCGGCTCTTTCCGCCCTGACCCGGCCTCCATTCCGTCTAATACGAAGTCCGACCCCTCAGCCTCTCGCACGCGCGGCCTCCACCTCGCCCCGCCCCTCAGCCTCATGCATGCCCCGCCCACGCCCATCCACTCCTCCAAGCTCGCCCCGCCCCTCGGCCTCACGTACACCCCGCCCACATCCTAGCCGCGTCTCCAGCCCCGCCCCCTTCCCGGGACCCCCTCACCTCCGCCTCGCTGCGGCCCGGCAGCTCCCGGGCCAGCTCGGCGGCGTCCGGCTCCGGCTGGCCCTGCCGCGCCTGCAGTAGTCGTAGCAGCTGTCGCTTCTCGCGGGGGCTCCAGGCCGCTGGGCCGGTCACCTCGCCCAGGTAGCGCGCCGGGGCCGCTCGCCGCCGCTGTGGAGGCTTCATGCCGGCGAGGGCGGTGTTGCCGCTCCGGGCCCGTTTCCCTGGTAGGCGGGGCTACGGAGGCCGCTGGGGTCAGAAAGCGCGGCGCGGAGGCGGAACTAGATGGGGGCGTGGCTCCGCGTTGGCGGCCCAGGAGAGCCGTGTAGATGGGAGATGGAGAGACTGGCCTGCGAACTGAGGTGGGGGCGCATGAGACACCCCCCCCGCCCGCATTTTATCTCATCCGTGAACTGGAGCCGAAACCTTAGATCTCCTGTCGTCCTTCCATTACGAGACTAAGTCTTGCAAAACTCCTACTGTGTGCTTTGCTTCTCCAAAAGGGGTGGACACTGGCAGAAGGGCAGCTGCTCAGTGGTAGCCAAGAACCTGGGTTGTGAGGTTGGTCTGCCTGGAGGACCTAGAGCAAGTGGTTTGGCCGAACCGAGCCTCAATTTCCTCATTTGTAAAATGGAGCTAGTAGTCCTGCTCCGGAGAAGGGAGGAACTGGGACAGCAGACATTGTAAGAGCTCTAGACTGGACGGAGAGGAGACTGGAGCAGAGGCCAGAGGTCGAGGCCTTAGTGAGGGCAGGGTCCAGGGTGGGGGTGGAGAGCGGAGAAAGCCTGGCTTTGGAGGAGGCGGCAGGTGGGCAGGTGCAGGGGTTGAGGAAGGACCTTTTTTTTTTAATTTGACAGAGAGGTCACAAGTAGGCAGAGAGGCATACAGAGAGAGGGGGGAGGCAGGCTCCCCACTGAGCAGAGTGCCCGACCTGGGGCTCGATCCCAAGACCCTGAGACCAGGGCCTGAGCCAAGGGCAGAGGCTTAACCCACTGAGTCACCCAGGCGCCCCGAAGGCAGAACTTGTTAAAACTTAAGCAGATGGGGTTGGGTGTCCCTTTCTGTTTGGGAAAAACTCCCTTGGGTCTCCCCCGGCCCCCATCTGTACACGTATATGTGAGTGTGTGGGCCAAGCCCCCAAGTCCTGGTCCAAGGCCTCTGCTTCCTGCCCCCTATAACCGCGCCAAGTGCATACGCAGACTTCAGAACTCAGTAGGTCAGACCAGGTGTTTATTTTGAGCCCAAGTGGGAAGGTGCCAGAAGGAGCGGGTCAGGGGCAGGAGGGTTCAGGAGGCAGAGACAGTGGTCCTGCTGGGTCTGAGGTCGACCGCGGCCGATCCAGTCCTGGCGAGCCTGCTTCAAGGCCGTGGCTTGTGTCTCCGGACAGTGCTGGGGGTGTGCCATCCCTGGGGAGGGGCTACCCAGACTGAGCGAAGCAGAGGGACACCATGCAGGCCGCCCCCTTCCCAGCGGATCTTTGGCCACCTCCGTTAGTCTGTGTGCAGGAGTGAGGGTGGGCACTAGGTCTGAGTCGCGAATTCTCCTCGCCTAGTACCTGTCCAGGTCTGAGGACCCCTCTTGTGACACAGAGCCTGAAGCTGGGTGCAGGTGACCCCGTGCCGGAGTCTGAATTCCACCAAATTTTGTGACCTTTGACAAGTTACTTCAGAGAGTGCCTCATGTTTCTCATTTATAATATGGGGATTGTAATAATATCTACCTGAAAGTTGTTATGAGGCTTACATTAATTAATAGGCATGAAACCTTGCGAACACTTTCTGACACAGGGAAAGCCTATGAAGTCATTATCATTACCTCCCTCTTCCAGGTGTCCTCCCGGCCCCCCGTTACAACCCCCCTCCCCGTTTACCTGCCTTATTGGGGCCTCCTGGGCTGGGGGCCGCTGGGCGAGTCTCTCGGGGCGGGACCGGGGTTCGGGGGTGCTGGAAAGGAGAGGCAGGCGGGTTGCTGCGCATTGAGCCGGGGCAAGGGCGCCCCCTGGCGGCTGCTGTGGGCGTAGCGCAGACAGGTCTAGGGATGGTCGTGCCCCACCCGCTGGGTGGCGGCGACCCGGAGTTCCGACCCGCGGGAATAGGCTGGGGGCCGTGCGGAAGTCCCGGCGGGCCGAGGTTGGTACCTGAATGCGCACAGACGAGGCCGAGCCCGGCGGCCAGCGCAGCGCCCAGCACGAAGGCAGCCAACACCAGCGCCACCACGGGCGCGGGCTCCAGGGCCGCGGGGGCGGGGGCGGGAGGTTCGGGGCGCACGGGTCTGCCGGGGACGCCCTTGGGTGGCCCTGTGGGAAGTACATCACATGGACTGGGCTCCGGCCCCAGATTCCTCCTCACCCCCCTTCCCGGGACCCTGCGGAGAACTGTGCGCTCACCGGGGGGTGGCCGCGGCACTGTGACCACGATGGGCTGCGTCAGCGTGTGCAGATGGGGACCGTCGGCACCCAGGTTCTCGCCACTGCCGCTGCCGGCGCCCGTGCACGCCTCATCCTGAGGCAGACACTGTGGGGAGGAGGAGGCAAGAGATAGGGACGTCAGGCCCCAGGATTCAGGGACCTGTCCCCGGGGCTCCCAAGAGATCTAAGTGTCCAGCTCTCTATTGCAACCAGGAGTCGCACCAGTAAACTGGAAATCCGACCCCGTAAGAGGTCCCCGAGCCCAGCCCCTAAGATATACAAGCAACCAGCCGCCTAGCCTGGAAGGACTCCAAATCTCAGGCCCTCAAGGTCACACGATCCATTTCTTTGAGAACATTAGACACCCAGAAGTTTGGCCGCTCGGCCGCCTCTGCATCTATAGAGCCAGCCAGCCCTGGAGGGAGCTCAGAGTTCTGCCCAAGGCGTCCCAGAGCAAGCCCAGTGTTCATTCCCTGTCCCCTGGGGAGCCCCTAGGGAGAGCCCCACAGCCCTCCTCCTCCCCACCCACCCACACTCCCCGCACCGGCCCTGAAGCCCAGCCAGCAGCCTGAGAGAGACCCAGTGACTCTCCCCAGCTCCAAGGGTCTCCAGGCTCCAAAGCGTATGACACCTAGATCCCCAAGCTCCAAGGAACTCTTCCTTCAGAGGCCAGAGGGCCTGTGCCCAGCCCCCGACTGGCCCAGGCGCCCATTCCCCGCCCTGGGTACCAGCGATGGCGGCGGCAGCGTCAGAGGCGCAGGTGTCCGGCGGGCTCCCCGGAGGCGGCGGCAGCGGCTCAGCTGGCAGTGCAAAAACTGCACCGAGGCGTTGAAGACCGGGCGCAGGCGGAAACTGAAGCGCACGGGACCGGCAGCACCCGGGCGCGCCGGCGGTGGCGGGAGGACGACGGAGGAGTCGGCGGGGCAGCCCCCGCGCAGCAGTGCCAGGACGGGCCCCGGGGCCGGGCGCGAGGACGGTGTCATCGAGCAGCGGTGCAGGACCAGGCCCCAGCGCGGAGAGGGACGGGCCAGGGCCGCCTAAGGTACGGGGGCGGGATAAGCACCAGCCCCGGCCGCCCCCATCCGGCCTGACCCGGCCCCGGCGCGCCCCGCGTCCACACCTGCACGAACACGCGGCTGTCGGCCGGGACCTCGAGCGGCCCCGCGCGGCGCGGGAAGGCGTCCTCCGCGTCCGACAGCTCCAGACTGAAAAGGGGTTGGCGCAGCCAGGGCCCAGGCGCCGCGGGGAATGGGGGCGCTGGCGGGGAGAAAGGGTGACACAACAGAGGTCGCGCTGCCCCTCAGCCCCTCCAGGCCAGTGCAGCGACCTCCCCGCCTCCTTTGGGAAATGGGTGCTGTTGTGGTAAGGATTCACCCGTGCTCGGCTCCGCGCCGGGTTCACTGCTGGCAGAATAGGTGTGGAGTGTCCCCGTGAACGTCCAGGGACCCTCACGGCCCCGCAGCAGAGGCTGGAAGCAAAGCTGCACACTTCTGGGGAGGAGCCCCCACTTCTCAGACCTGGACTTCTCCACCCAGAGCAGACCAGGGGATCCCTGGCTGGGCCAGTCCAGTCGCAGGGTGCCCGATGGGGGCGAGGCAGTCAGGCTGGGGGATGGCAGCAGCCCAAGGGCCCCAGGGCTGCTCTGTGGGGGCAGAGGATGCCATCCCCCACTTTCCTTCCAAGTGTACCAGCAGGGAAGGGGAGAAGGAAGGTGCTGTCTCTCTGCCCCTCTGGCACAGCAGGAGCCCCACCAGGCCCCCAGGGTCTCAGGCTTCTACCCTTGTCCGGGTTCCTCACTCCCGGACTGAGCGCAGCAGCAGCACCAAGCAGGGACACACGTGCACCCACACCCCCTCTGCTGGAGGGACCCTTGTCAAATTATATTCTTATTTAGGACGGTCCCCACACACAGTTCCTAAAAGCACTGGCACACTGCTCTCCCACGCTCACGGGTCTCATAGCTGCTGGGGCCTCTGAGGAAGGTGGGGCGTCCAGGAGAGGACCCTGGAGAGGGGAGACAGAGGCAGGGCCCACCTCCCCAGCGCCCGTGTTCCCCCGCCCTCCAGACCCCCCCCCCGGCCCCCAAGCAGGGCAGGTGAGCAGTGGAGCTGAGAAAGGGCAACATGGGGGCGGCAGCATGACGGGCCGTGTCCCCAGCCTCTACGTACCAAGTGGCCCGCTGGGCGAGGTGGCGACCCCAGGGAGCAGGGCCAGCAGCAGGAGCGTGGCACCCGGCATGCTGGACGGGTGCTGGAGCGTGCACTCCAGCAGCGGAGGCAGCCTCCGGGCAGCACCGAGGCCCCGCAGGTGGGCAGGCAGCCGTGGCCTTGGCTGAGCGGCCACCCAGGAAGGCAGGGCGCGGGGGCGGCAGGCTGAGGGGTGCACATCAGAGCCGGGCGCCCAAGGTCTGCCAGGGATTAAGGGCTCCTGTCTGACCAACCTGTGGCTGTTGGGGTGTTGGGGGTGGGGGGGGGTCCCCGCACACTGCTCGCTTGATACCAGGCCACTCAGTACAAACACCACCCTACCGGCCACCGCTGCGCTTCGGTCTCCCCTCCGTGAGGAGGCCCCATCCCCCGGAAGGGCACGGCTCCCCCCCAAGGTCAGAGCTCACAGCCCCTTCCCACCTCTTGCTGCCTGGGCCTGCCGAGCTGAAGACAAACCACAGACTCAGTGGAAGAAGAGGGACGGTTTATTCTCAAGCGGCTAAGGGTTTACAAACAAGGGCATTTCGTTTTTTAAAAAGGGTGGTGGGGGGGAACACTGGCGACCGGAGAAGGAGGGGTCAAGGGTCGGCAGCCTGGGCCAGGCCACCCCAGGCCCCTGCCTGCCCGCTCCACCCTCTGCCTGGTCAAGAAGGATGGCTGGTGACTGGCGACGGAGGGAGGACAGGAAAGAGGCAGAGGGGAAGAAGAGGCTCCCCCAGAACCCCCACTTCACGCGGAAGTGGGGCAGGGATGGGCAGACACACTCACAAAACAGAAAATAGTTAAATAAAAATAAATCCAGGTGGCTGGCCCAGGGCCTCCGCTGGCCCTGGGCCCAGCCACGGAACCTTCCAGCTACCCACAAAGGCCTCCCCCGCTCCTTGGCTGGGCCAGGTGAGGGAGGGTGGGGAACCAGACCTGTGGGCCCCCCACCCTGCCCCCGTCCCCTCACAAAGGGGACGGGGCAAGAGAAGGCGGCTGTCCCCCTCCCGGGCAGGGGGCAGAGAGCAGAGAACTCTGTACTCTTGAACATGCGGCGTTTTGGGAGTTACGGAGTGGGAGTGAGAGTCGACAGGACAGATGGGATACAGTGATGCCGCGGCCCAGACTGCGTCCATGGCCGGCCAAGCTCCTCACCTTTGCTGTTGGTTGGTTTTGTGGTTCTGTGGGTTTCTGTTTGTGTTTTTTGTTTTGTTTTGCTGTCCACTTGATTTGCATGCATCACCAACAAAAAGGAAACACACCCCCTTCCCACCGGGGCTGCTGCAGAGGGCTCAGGGCGCACTGGCCAGCTCTGGGGGAGTCGAGGGGTGCTCAGGGGCACTCCAAGGGCGTCACTGCCTGCACACGCCCAGCCCTCAGCCAGCCCCACCTCTGTACTGTCTCACGTCCTCGAACCCCCACACCTGCCCCCTGTACCCTCTCTCCCTGCCTCCCTGGGGCCCCAGGGCCCCTGGGCCTCCACTCCTGCCACTGACCCCCTCTATGTCCCTGCCGCAGCAGCGTCCGCTGCCCTCACCGGGCCCTGCGCCCGCCTTCCCTGAAGGCCACCCTGTGTGGCCGCGGCCCCTTGGGCTCCCTCCACGCCCCCTGAGGTCCTCAACTCACCCCACCCCAGCTGTGGCCAGTCTCCAGCCGCAAGGGCTGGCCCCTAGGGAGGAGGAGCCCCCAGAGCCCACCTTTGGGGCTCGCCCCCCCACCCCCACCCCAGATGCCTATACCCACAGGCGGTTGGGGGGCTCCACCACGAGCAGCTAAACATGACTTTGGTAAAAGTTTCTGAAGGTACCGACAAACCCCATGAGAACAAGCTCTTTGCCCCCCCACCCCAAACACCCCACCAAGTACAATAAAATACAATAAACTCCAAAAAGGACCCCCTGAGATCAAAGAGAGAGAGAGAGAGAAAGAGAGAAAGAGACCAGCCCAGGCCCAGCTGCAGTCGTAAGGCCCAGCCTGCCTTCCTGGGGCGAGGACACCAGCTGACTGATTCGCCACTGCCCGAGACCTAAGTGGACCCCGGAATCCCGCTGCGGGGCGTGGGCAGAGCCCAGGTTTGGGCAGGAGAGAGGCAGAGGCAGGGAGGGAGATGGGGAAAGCCAGAGATGTAGAAGGGATGAGAGAGGAGGGGAAGGAGGCAGGGAGCGTGTCTGCGGAGGGAGACGGGAGGCAGAGGGGCAGGCACACGGCGAGGGGGTGGGAGGAAGGGGCGAATGTGGGGGGAGGGGCGGGACGGGCAGCTCTCTCCCGGCCCCTGGGGGCCGCCCCAGCCCAGAGGTTACGACTGAATAAATAGCGAGTCTGCTCGTGGCCTGCTGTCTTCCGTTCACAGTGTCTGTCAGGGGGACGCGCACGGCCGGCTGACCCGGGGAGGCCGGCTGACCCCGGGGACGGGAGAGGCTGGGGCCTGGCGAGCCCATCTGTCCACGGCTGGTGGGCAGGGGGTCAGGGCTGGGTCGGCGCCCCCCCTACTTTCTGTCCTCGGCCCTCAGCAGCTGTCCAGGTCCCAGGTCTCCCCTGGCGGGCAGCTGGGTGGCCAGATGGGGAAGGGGGGCCTGTGGCCATGCCCCTGGCCCCCGGTGGGGCTGGCCGCCACCACGTGGCTACCTGAAGAAGGGCAGGTGGTGCTGGCTCAGGACTCCGCTCGTCCTCGGTGACTCGGTCTTCGCCATGACGTCCTTGAACCAGGACGCCACGTCCACCTCCAGCATCTCGAAGCGCTTGATGAAGCTGTGTTCCTGCGGGGCCGAGGGGCGGGGCTGAAGACGGGGGGAGGAGCCCAGCGGCAGCTCCGCCCCGGGGGGGAGGGAGTCCGGAGGAGAGGGGAGGGGCGGGGAGGGGCCTCAGGTACTCACAAGTAGCTTATTATACTTTGGTCTCTTCCTGTGATCCTTAGTAAGGCTGAAGGAGGAGGAGGAGCCGGAAAGAGAAGTTAAGAGCCGAGGAAGGAGGGGCAGCCCGGGACTCGGTGTCGGCTTGGAGGGGGTGGGCACTAGTGACCTGGGGCCGCTTGCTGAAGGCTGAGGCCCCAGAGCCCTGCACTTAGGAATCCGGCCTGGGACGGAAGCCCAAACTGGGTTGTGAAGGGCTTGTGGGAGAGGTGAGTGGGGCTCTCCCGTGGGACGAGCAAATGCGCCCCCCACCCCGCCCCGTGCAGGCAGAATTCCGCTTGCAGGAGCTGGACACCAGCCCCCCCTCCAAGGGCCGGCTTCTGCCCGCACCCCTGCTGGGAGGGCCTGCCTTCTGGTGGGGGTGGGGGGCTGCTCCGTCGTCGTCCCAGCCCCAACATCCCTAGCTGGCGACTCCAAGCACGTGCGTCCCTGACCCCTCGCCCCGCCTCCCGCAGCCCAAAGCTGGGGGTGGGGGCAGAGGCTCCTCACCAGTCTTTGACGAAGGACTGGAAGTCCCCTGAGAAGCCCATGTGCCCGGGCAAGAGCGGGGGCTCTTCCTGGAGGACTTTGGTAAGGACCTCAAAGTCTGTCTTGCAGTTCTTGTAGGGAAACTGTCCCGTCGCTAGCTCCACCTAGAAGAGACGGCAGGGCCGGCGGGGCTGAGGACGGGTTCCTCCTCTCCCTTCCCGCCTCCCTCTGGATCCTCAAACGGCTGGGGGGGCCCCCACTCACCAAGGAGATGCCCAGGCTCCACACGTCCGCCCGGATGTCATAGTCCGGCTTGGTGGGGTCCGGAGGGTCTATGCGCTCCGGCTGCCGGGGAGCAGAAGGGGAGGATGTACCCCCGGGGCCGGTGAGTCCCCGGATCCCCCAGGCCCACCCTCCCAAGCGCCGCGCGCGGGGGTCCCCCTCACCGCCATGTAGGCGGCACAGCCGGCGCTGCGCGTCTTGGCCTTGGAATCGACCAGACGCCCGCTGATGCCGAAGTCACAGAGCTTGATCTGGCCCCGCTCGTCCAGCAGGATGTTCGAGGGCTTGACGTCACGGTGGATCACGCCGTGCTTCTCCTTCAGGTAGTACAGCGCCTTCACGATCTGCAGCAGGGCAGCGCGACAGCACCGGTGACGGGAGGACACCGGTGACGGGAGGACACCGGTGACAGGAGGACAGAGCGGGTGGGTGGGTGGGGGAATGGTGGTGGAAGCACCCGGCCAGCCGCACCCCTGCCCAGTCCACTCACCGCCACAGTCATCTTGCCCAGGATCCGCTCGGGGATGGGGCCCTGCACCCGCTTCTTGAGCTTCTCGGCGCACGTGCCCATGAGCTCCATGGCGATGAAGACGTCCGTCTGCAGGCGCAGCACAGGGAGGCTTGAGCGCGGCTGCACCCCCCAACTCCCGCCCACCCCACGTGGACGCCGCCCAGCAAGGAGGGAACCAGCAGAGCCCCGGGGGGACAGGGGAGCATCGGCGGCCGCCTGCCAGCGCTCACGTTGGTGATAAAGGTGCCGAAGCACTGCACAATGTAGGGGCAGTCGTGGCTCTTGAGCACCACGTCTAGGTCCATGAGGATCCGCTTGTTCTCCTCCTTATTCCCCGAGCGCCGCATTTGCTGCACGGAGGACCAGGGGAGCCTCAGCACGCAGGTAGGGAGGAGTGGGGGTTGGTTCTCGGGGGGAGGGCTCGAGCAGGGTGGGGCTCACCTTGACGGCGATGACGTGACCCGTCTTCCGGAAGCGCATCTTCCACACCTGGCCGCAAGTGCCGCTGCCCATCTCCCCCAGGTTCTCCAGATCGTTGATTTCGGCCTGGTAGCGCTGGCCAGGACAGCCAGAGCTGGAGGATGGGCTGGGCCTCCGCACCGCCCCCACCCCAAGACCTAGCCCCGTCTGCGTCTGCCCACCCCCCAGGGGGCCAGGGCCAGGGTGGTACCTGGCCCCCGATGGTCAGGTAGCCGGTCTGCTTCATGATCTCCTGTAGCTTCTGGTCAATCTCGATGCTGGGGGGACAGGATGGAGGTCTCAGTGGGGGAGGGTCCCAACCAAACCGAGGCCACCCTGGTCCCCGACACACAGGGGTTCCCACAGATTTAACCACCCTTCTCCCTAGGACAGGCAAAGTGGCCCTCCCCACATGATCTCCTGACCCCCTCCCCCCACTGGCCAGCTGCACCCATTCCAAGAGCTCACCTCTCCATGCTGCGGGGCATGAACAAGGTTGATGGAAGCCCCAGCATGTTGCGGGGCCGGGCAGGGGGTGTGGGGTGCTGTGGGGAGCTCTCGGAGCATGGTGAGCGGCTGCCCCCATCATTGGCCAGCGGGAGCTGGAGGGCTGGGGGGGTGAGAACCAGGGGTGAGAGGGGGTTAGCTACCACCTGGCACTCTGGGGCCTTGGGACTCTGGTCTCCCCCTTCCTGGCATCAGGTAGGCCAGCACAGACCCCCCCACCCCCCACCCCACTGGGCTGGAGGAGCTAGGGTCTCCCTGACCACTCTCAGAGTGCCTTCTCCCACCCCCCTGACCTGGAAGAAGATGGAGTAGGCTGGCAAGGAGGGGTGGTTCCCAGAGGCTGAGGGATTGTCCCCAAGTCTATGCTGACACGGGATCACGGCCCAGGGACTGATGACATCCTTCAGCCAGGCAGCCTTCCCGATATGTCCCTTTCCTCCCCACCTCTGCCCAGGAAGCTGGCCCAGGGCCACAGCGCTCACACTCTGGACCATGCGAGGAAGGCAGGCCCGCTAGGATTAGCCTGGGTTCTGGCCCTGATGGCAGCACTGAACTTGGCTGCCCATTAAGAATCAGGCAAGACCATCCCAGGGAGACAATGGGCAAGGGCCCCATGCTTCCGGCTGCCTGGCCCCACGTTCTGTTCCAGGGTGAGGGAGGGCCACCCTCTAGCCAGTAGGCTCATCTCTGAGCCTCCCAGTTTGGCCTGCAAAGCTGGGGCCGATGGATGGGGGCAGGACCCCAGGCTGGGCCTGTGTCCTTGGGGTGAGGGGATTTAGGTGGCACAGCCCCCGTCAAGGGCTGGTGGGCTGGGGGGAGGGGAGGGGAGTGGGCCAGGCAGTGGGGTCTTCTCAGCAGCCTGCATGCGGACAGCTCGGGCATGCTCCACGCAGGCGGGCAGGCAGCGGGCAGGCAGCGGGCACCCCAGGACGGGCAGGCGGCATTCGGGGATCGGGAGGGCAGGAGACAGACAGACAGATGGGAGCCAAGACTTGGGGCCCAGCTGCCCAGAGGAGGCACTGCAGAGACAGGCCAGACAGGGGCCCGGGACAGGACAAGAGGTTCCCTGAGGGGCTGGGATCCTCCCTGGATGGGCTGCCAGGAGGGTGGGAGCAGAGACCCATGTGGCCCCTGGAGAAGACAGATGATCCTCCACTGAACCCTCGTAGCCCAGAGGCCCAGATGCCCAGATGCTCCAAAAGGAGGTCCCTAACCGTGTAGGGCACTGGCTGCAAGTGTCTCTAAGTGGGGCCAAAAGAGGACCTTCCTACAGAGAATGGCCGGGAGGCCTGGGGCCACCGTCCCACAACCCTCAGCTGAAGCCCCCTTCTCTGCCTACACCTCCTGCCACGGTCCACACTCTCCTCCCACAGTTCTGCAAGCGCCTTGTGATGCGGGCCCAGTGACCCATGGACAGACATGGATACACTTGAATTGCTGCCGTCTGGGTACTTTCTCTGCCCCGTTACCCTGGTCCCAGACCACGTCCAGAGTGAGGGAGCAGGTCCGTGATCCTAGCGTACAGCCGCAGAAGGGACACGGGTCTTGGTGGGGTCTGCTCAGAGCAAAAGAAGAGCTCTGGGGACCCCAGGGAGCCTCCTGTGCTCTCTCCCTGTCGCTCTAGGCCCTAGCTTTGTCATGTCCTTGCTTCACTCCTCTGTCATGGCCAGAGTCCCAATCCCTCTGTCTCTGGCTCAGCAACCTCAGGGGCACCTGAGGGGCCCCCGTGCTCCCCTGTACCTGGACTCTCTGGGGACACTGCCAGGTTCTCGACCCCTGAGAAATATCTGGGCCCCTTTTCTGCCCTGCATGGTCACCTCCTCTCTGGGGTGAGAACCACACCCCGACCCTCTGCACACTTCTGGGGGCAGGGGGAGACGCTTCCAGTGGCCCTACAACTGAAACACGGTGGGGACCTGAGGGGGGCTAAGGTGGGGGAAGGGAGGAGGTACACAAAGGCTCTGAGAATGGAGGTTACAGAGGTGGTGACAGGCCACGTGGCAGGTCAGGAGGGCACAGTGAGAGCTATAGGCTGAATGAAAGAGAGAAAGAGAGAGAATATGAAAGCGCATGGGAACACATGACCAACAGGAGCCACAGACATACCGGGCTGTCAGTCCAACACACACGCGCACGCACACACACACAGCGGATGGCACAACCCCCCCCACGCACACACATACAGACAATATGCCGAGAGCCCTGAACAGAACCAGCCCCACACTATCTTTCTGACACACACACACACACACACACACACATACACACCCCGTCTAGTTCCACCTACACAAGGGCCAACAGGGCCAGGCCCTCCAGGTGTCTGTCTCTCCAGCACACACTCTCTCTCTCTCACACACACACACACACACCCTGCACACACCTGCTCCACACCCACGAGCAACTGCACTCAGGACCCAGCTGGCTGCTTCCTCTACCTTCGTTCACGGGCTCCCTGCCTCCCACGAGCCTGTGCTCATATCCCAGCTTCTCCAGAGGCCTCCCTGACCGACCACCCCCTGCAGACCTGGCCTTTTCTACAAGGCATCGCTGCTTTCTCCGCTTCTCCCACACTGGGAAAGTGCTCACTGTCCGTGACCGTTAGCCACGCGACAAGGGGCCCTTGGTCCATTCTGTCCGCTGCTGTGTCCCCAGAGCGGGGCGACATGTGTTTGCTGTGTTGTTGAAACAAATCAACAGGAACAGCCCGTCAGCCTGACCCAACCTTCTCTTTCTCCCTTATACACGCATGCACACACGTGACCTCTCACAGGCGGCAGACTCCTGGTGGGTCAAGGAGCTCACTTCCTCTTCCAGGAGTCCAAAACTGAGCCCACCAGGAAGGGAGGAGTGGAAGGTGAGTGGACAGAGAAGAGGCCAAGTGGGCCGAACACTGTTGATCACTGATGGTGTGCAAGGAGAGAAAGAGTGACAGGTGCGCGCGCACACACACAGCACGGGGGGGAGGGGAGGGCATTCTGCGGCAGGGGCAGCGGTTAGGTCAATGGTGCAGACGTCCAAGCGACGATGATAAAAAGGCTGGTACCTGCTCGTTGGGACGGGGCAGGAGCAGGGCTTAGAGTGATCACAATAACTGGATGGGGAAAAGGAAGAAAAAAAAAACAACACCACGATAAATCACAACAGAAACAACTGATTTGTCCAAAAGAAAAGAAATCAAATCATAATGAGGAAGAGGGGGGAGGCGCGAGGCTCCAAACTGCAGAGACGGGTAGAAACTGACAGAAATGGGAGGACCGGGAGGATGGATGGAGCTGACACAGACACAGATGCCTGGAGGGGGCATCCTCAGGGACCTGCCCGCCATGGGCCTCACCGTGCCTCACTCTGCACCTGGGACAGCCGCTCCATAAGGGACCCCCGGCCCCATACCCAGCCCTGTCTCGTCCGTGCTGGGGCTAGCGGAGGCAGCACTGCAGAGCCCAGTAGGGACCCTCCAGTCCTGGGAGGGCTTTTTGCCCCAGGGAGGAGCCCACACTATTACCCCAAGTCAGAAGAGGGAAGGATAAGGAGAGGACCGCACACAGGGGCTGGGGACGGTCAGGCTGGGTGAGCAGGGAATGACTGCAATGCCCTGATGGGGGGGTGCCCCCTCCTACCCGGACGACCCCTTGAGAGCTATATAAGCTACAAGGATCGTATCAGAAGAAGCACAAAGGAGGCCAATTTGCCAGCTCAAGAGACACAAAGTGTGCGGTGGGGTGCCATTCGTCAGGTGTGTGGGGAGGGTGAAGATCTGACGCCCTCTAGCTGGGGGATTTGGGGGGGCGTCCTGTGGGACATAACAAAGAAAGCTGACTGGCTGCAGGCCAGGTGTGAGTGTTGGGGGAAGGAGCAGCAGCTTTTGAATCCAGATGGTAAGATGCCAGGGAGGTGGTCACAGAGAGAGCGGGATCGGAGACAAGGGGTACGTGGGCTGGGAGGCCGAGTTATCACACACTCGCCTCGGGTATCCTTAGGCTAGGTGAGTGTGGGTGTACAGGGAAGAGGGAGTCACTGGAGTCCAGGTGATGAAAAGCTGCCAGGCTGGGGGTTGGGTGTGTAATTTTGGAGAAGCTAGAACAGTCCCCAAGACAGCGGCAATGAAACCAGTCAGAAGAGTCTAAGGGTGCCTGGTGTATGTGGGTAGGGTGTGCACGGGACGGGGTCTGCTAGGCCCAATGACAAGGGCCCAGCCTGGGAAAAAGGGATTCCCAGACACAGCCACCGGGAAGGAGTTCGGAGGAATAGGGAATTATATGTGGTCATATGACCTCAGGGGTCACCCGGGCCGGGTGTGCGTGTGTGTGTGTGAGTGGATCCTCCACGGAACCATATGACAAGGACCCAGGTGCGGAAGAGGGAAAGGGGCCTCCTGCCCGGCACTGAGATGGCAGCAGCGAAATCATCTGGTCAGCGGAGGTGTCCGTGTTTGCCGGGAATCTGGATGTGGTCACGGTCGCGTGGATTAGGGGGAGCCGCGGCGCCGGGTAGGTGACGGGGACACAGGCTCCGAGGATCACGGTGAGGGGGCGGGTCATCAGGTGGTGGGGGGTCTTGCCCCGGGACCGGGTAACTGGGCTCGTAGGCCCCGTAAGGGGAAACCCCTACGTTGGGGGAGGGCAGCCCGGGAGCCCGCGGCCCCACGCCCCCCGGGTCACCGTGACCCTCTCCCCGCGAACCGACAGCAGGGGGTATGGGGCGGAGAGAAGGAGCAAGAGCGCCCCGGAAGCGGGGGCGGGGCCTGACGACGGGGGCGGGGCTTCCCGCGGCGCGCGCCCCGCCCCGCCCGCCCCCTCCCCCACGCCGCCGTGCTTACTGGGCCTGGGCCGCTGGGGGCTGATATCCAGGTTGAGGTCGATCCTCCGCCGGGCCTCGCGGTTCTCCTGCTTCAGCTTTGCTTCTAGGCGGGACAGCTTCTGCTCCAGGGAGGACGCCGCCATCTTCCCCGCCGCCGCCGCGCACCGCCCGGCCGCCCGTCAGTCCGGCAGACAAACACCGCACTGCGCCTGCGCCTGGATGACCCCGCCGAGCCGCCGTCTCTCCCTGCATGGCGCATGCCCGCGGCGCGCGCTCGCCCATCCCTCGTACCTAACCTCTGAGCATGCGTGTTCTTCCCAGCCGGAGAGCTGACGCCACCTAGAGCTCGCGTCTGGCAACGTGCAACGCCTCTTACCGTGAAGCGCACGCGCTGATTCCGAGCACACTCTCGGGAGGCGCAGTGTTGAAATCCATTCAAACAGTTTTGCAGAGAAAGGCGGGGGGGGGGGGGGGGGGTCGGTGCGCCTGCGTACGGAGGGGGTAGACGCGATCCCGCGCGTGGCCTTTTCTACGCATGCGCAACGTTGGCTCGCTCTCCTGCCCCTGTTCCCGGGTGTAGCTTACTGCTGTGTGTCCTCCCCATCGTTGTTTTCGCTCTTCCCCGCCCGGCCTGTTCGCTGGCACCCACGCTCCCTCACAACTGCCTTTCTCGTCTGGGACAGTGCTTCATTAGGATCTCTGTTAGGCTTAATTGCTGCCTTCTCACCATAATTAGGCGCCCGTGGGGAGCCCTTTCTATTTCAGCAAGCTCAGGGTTGGGCAAGGACTGGCGGGAGGGCCGGGGTAGGGCTCGGTCACTGTAGGGTCTCTAGGACCAGCGGCATGACCCCTGATCTCGACGACAGGGCCAGGGTCATGGCCAGAGTTCCAGGTCAGACCCAAATGGGATATTTCAAGACTTTCCCTCTTCTTCCAGCTCCGGAATGTGAACCCTGCTCCTGGACAATGCAGAAAATGGGCCTTGGTGTTAATGCGCCTCAGCCTGTCTTCCCCGAGGCTTAACTGGTCTGATGGGTGCCTGGGAAAATGTCCCCAACTGGAATCCTGGTTTTCGGAAAGCAGCTTGCCTCTGCTTTCAGTTGCCAGGAAGAAGCTCATATTTTGCATACACCTCGTAGTGCCCAGTCCCTGGAGGTCAGGGTCAGGCGGCCTGTCCCATATGCCCCCATGTACTCCTGGTCCAGCACAGGAACACTGGTGGGCGATGAAGGCTTGTGGGAACTCCTGTGGTGACAACTGACGGGTGAAACAGGTACAAGAGAGTGGAGTCTGGAGAACTAACAGATAATGTAGAGGAAAAGGGGTTCTCCAGAAAAAAAGATAGGCAGGGGATGCCACCTAATTTTTCCTGGCAAGCCAAGATCGCTCTGCCTCTGCTTCCAGGACAAAAACTCATATCCTTGATGCTGACAGGTGAGTGTCACTGCTTGCCTATAACTGGTCTGGTGAAATGGAAGGCTTAGACAACAGAAATGGATACCAGAGATCAGAAGTTTAGTTCTCATAATTCGTATTATTTATTAAGCATCCTCTGATAGATGTTCCCTCACACAGGGAGTGTTTGAAAGACAAGTTCCTGCCTGTGTTCAGAAGAATGTAACCTCCATCGCCGGCGTTCTGAACCCTGGAGTCTGCCAGCCTTCGGGTGTCCATGAATGGCCCTCTGGGACGTCTGGGGGAATCTGCTGCCTGCCTCAAGTCGCTAGCGGAACTTTGCATGTATGTGTACCTGAGCATTTTCCTGGGAAAGGAGGTGCCCAGCTTTGATCAGATGTTTAAAAAAGTCTAGGACTTAAAAAGGGTTCAAAATCCCTGCACTGGACATCCAGATTCTGGGGGTCCACAATTCCCAACATACAGACCTAGGACCACCTTCATTAGAATGCTTACTGACAGGCAGGTTCCTGGTCTCCAGCCAGACCTGAGTCATTCTTTCAGGGGTGGGGCCCAAGATGTTTTGTTGTGGGGATGTTGATTTTGATGCGTAGCCAAATGTGAGAACCATTTTTCTGAGTGCACGTGTACATAGCAAACAACTTATAACTAAGGGATTGGCATCAAAGCTGGGGGTCAGGGTCGCCGGTCTCCTGTGTCTGTGTCCCCTCCTTGGGAGAGAACCCCAGATAGAAGCTGTTTTGGTCCAGGGTGGGGGGGAGGGTTGAAATCCCATTGGGATGTGCCGCACCCCCTTATATGGCACTAATTGAGCTAGAATGTCCACGGGCGGGGCAGGCCAGCCAGCCAGCCAAAGACACAGGTGTGGTTTTAGTCTGAGAATCCAAGGACTGAGTTAATCCCTCTCTGACGTTCCACCCCAAATCTACGGCCTCCTGTCTCTTCTCAGACCAGCCCTAGGATCCTGCCTGGACCCCACAAGGCTGACGTGTCTGCTCCTCCTCTCTTGGCCTGGGCCCTCTTGGCCACCTCTCTTGAAGACAGCAGCCAGAGACTCTGGCGTGGAAGCATCCAGAAGGCCTCTACCCCAACCTTCCCCACCTCTGCTTCATTCCTCCTCCAGTTTCTCCCGCACCTCTGCCGGCAGGCCCTCGTAAAGGGCATCCTCTACCACGAGCCCCACTTTCTTGAGCCCCACGCAGTTGCCAAGCTCTTCTGGCAGCGCCTCCAAGCGGTTGCCCCTGAGCTCCAGGCGCCCGAGGGCTCTGAGGGCCCCCACCTGGGGTGAGAGCTGGCTCAGGTGGTTGTAGCCCAGGAGCAGCGTCCGCAGCTTGCGGCAGAAGAAGAGCTCGTCGGGCAGGGCCTCCAGGGCATTGTAGGACAGAGCGAGGTGCTGCAGGTTCTGGAGGAGGCCCAGCTCGGGGGGCAGGGAGCGCAGCCCATTGTGGGAGATGTCCAGCAGACGGAGGCCGCAGCACATGCCCAGCTGGCTGGGCAGGGTCTCCAGCTTGTTGTGGCTGAGGTAGAGCTGCTCGAGCCCTCGGAGCTTCCGCACGTGCTCGGGGACATAGGCGATCTGGTTGTGCCACAGCCTGAGCGTGACCAGCTTGCGACAGTGCTGGAAGCTGAGGATCTCCTCGATGGACCGCAGGTGGTTGTCCTTGAGGTCTAGTTCCTGCAGCGCGCCCAGGCTGAAGATGGCGTGGGGGATGCGCTCCAGCCCGCAGGCCACCAGCTCCAGCTCCCGCAGTGCCGCCAGCTTCTTGAGGCTGTTAAGGGCTAGCAGGCGGGCCCCATCGTTGTGCAGGCTGAGCCGCTGCAGATGGCCGGCCACGTCCGTCACGCTGGCGGGCACCTTGCCGGCGTTGCTCCGCAGAGACAGCACCTTGAGCTGCTTCAGCTCCCGGAGGCTCTCGAGGGTCGCCGCCCGAGCCAGCTCTGGGGGGAAGAGCCCCTCAAGGTGCAGCTCCTCCAGGCCCCGCAGCCCAAACACCCACAGGGGCACCTCGCGGAGCTCCTCGCACTTGACGCGGATGACCTTGAGGCGGTCCCGCAGAAAAACCTGCAAGGAGAAGGGCAGCCTGGCGGGCGAGTGCAGCAGGCTGAGCTCCTGCAGGCCCACCAGCTGCGAGAGGCCCGGGGGGAACGTGATGTCGCAGATGGCCTCCAGCCGCAGCGCCTCCAGCTCGCTGAGCTCGAAGACGGTGTCGGGCAGCCCCGGGAGCATGCAGAGGGCCAGCTCGAGCCGGCCGCGGCCGTTGCGCTGCAGCTTCTGCCGAAGCTTCTCGGGCGTCCACTCGTGGTTCAGGTTGAGTTGCTTCAGGCGGCTCTCACTGACCTCGGAGAGGAAGACGGCGAAGCGCTTGGAGTAGAGCGAGTCATACTGGTCGATGAGGTGGAGCATGAAAGCGAAGTCATTCTTGACGTCCGGTATGTCCCCCATGCCGGTCTCCTCCCGCACCGAGCGGAAGGAGTACTCCTTGAGGGGCCGGTGGAAAAGCCAGTAGAGGGTGTAGAGACAGGTCAGCCCGTAGACGCACACGAAGGAGATGTAGCAGAACGCCAGCTTGGAGAAGAGGTGAGCCTTGGTGTGGTTGCAGCAGAAGCTGGCGTAGCCTGTCACCTCCGAGGTCTCTACCCTGCAGGCCACCAGGAAACTGATCTTCTCCACGTAGACCAGGTTGTAGACCAGGATGGCGAAGAACTTGCAGACCTTGAGCACCGTCTGCCGGATGTACATGGTGTACAAGATGTCGCCCTCCTCCACGTGCACGCGGAACTTCTTGACCTTCTCAAACAGCGCCTTGGCCTGTTCGCCCTCCTTCTTGTCCAGCAGGGTGACTGCCGGTGGCTCCGTCACCACCTTCTCAGGCTCCATCAGCACCTTTTCCTTCTCACCCTCACTTGCCTTTCCTGGCCCCGCGGACGCTTCCACGGTCGCCGTCGCCCGTCCCGCATTGGGGCCCTTGTGGTTGTCCCCAGAGACCTCGGAAAGGGCCCGTGTGGTCCACGGCGAGTCGAAACACTTGCCCAGAATGGAGATGAAGTGCTCGATCTTGGAACTCGTGCCGGGGAACTTGAACCAGAAGCTGGTGCAGACCATGAAGATGAGCGTGTGGATGACGACCAGGTAGGGGAAATACTTGGCGTACCAGTGGAGGGCGGTCTCGTAGCACAGCTGGTTGATGAAGCTGTACTGCTGGAGGTCCAAGTTGTTCTTGAGGCCGCTGACCTCCCGGAGGCCCCCCATCTGCTCGGAGACGCCGCGTGGCAGCAGCTGCTGGCATGGGGCTTCGGATAAATTCTCTCGGAGTTCGTGACTGGGCAGACAGATGATCTTGTCCTGTGTCACCTGGGAATGAGGTGAGGGAAGAGGGTCAAGGAGCTGGGTCGGCCGGGATAGCCTGGGGCTGGGGGGAGGGGGGGTACAGGTGGGCTGAAGGTGGGAGGAGGCCCCAGGCCCTGACTGTCCCCAGCTGGCTGTGATTTTGGAAGAGTAGCTAAGCCTCTGAAAGCACCTCAGTCTTTGAAAAAAGGAGTTCGGTTGAATGTGATGCTCGGGCTCTCCCCCTCTCTGCCCCAGCAAAAGATCCTGAAGTCCTAATCCTTAATACCTGTGACTAGATCGTCTTTGCAGAGCACACGGGATCTAGTTAAGGTGAGGTCATTAAGGTGGGCCTTACGTCCTTTGGACAAAGACACACGCACAGGGAAGAGGAGCGACTGG